TAGCCTCAAGAAACGGGGCAATAGACTTTTTTGAAATCTATTGAAGGAGCTCTCCTTTGGGCTTTTAGTAGCAATAAAATTGCTACTAAAACCGAATGTAAAAAACTATTATAAAACAATAGGGATTTCCTTTTACTTTACGAGCACTGTTTGTGCAGCAGCATTTGTTATATTAGTATGTGTGAAATATGGATCTATTGCTGCTGCTTCTAATAGAACATCGAATATCTCTTCTGTAGCAGCCAAATGTAAGGGAGTTAGTCCATCGCTATTTTCAGCATTAACATCTGCACCTGATACTAATAGAGCTTTGATTACTTGTATATCGCCACTCAGAACAGCCAAATGTAAAAGAGTGTTGCCATCTTGATCTCGAAGAACATCAATACTTTTACTTGTATATGCTTCTTCTATTTCTACTTCTCCCATTTTCTCCATCGTGCCTTCTATTGCTATTGCTTCTTTTTCTATTTCTACTTCTTCCATTGATACTACTGCTTCTATTGCTGCTGCTACTCCTTCTTCCATTACTTCTTCTGTTGCTGCTGCTACTCCTTCTTCCATTACTTCTTCTGTTGCTGCTGCTAATGCTTCTGATGTTATTCCTCCCATCGCTATTATTGTGTTTATTGTTGCCAAATTGCCACTAGCATAAGCCAAATCTAAAGGAGTTTTTCCTTCATTATTTTTAGCATTAATATTTTCACTGTGATCTCGTATTAATAGAGCTTCTAATATATTATCGAAGCCACAACCAGCAAGAAAATGCTTTAATGTACCTGAAAATTCATTGTGTTGAATCGTTTTATCAACACTCATCTTTTTTTTTCTTTTCTTGTTATCAGTATCTTCCCACTGTGCAAATATCCCCGGATATTCTCGTAAAATTGCTAGTAACCTATTAAAGATATTATTTTGATTTAAATTTTCATCTAAATTTAGTTTCTCTAATCTGTTATACAATCCTTCTGGTAATATTAAATTATATGTCATGTTTTCTCCTTAATATTGATAATATTAATTAATATTTAAACTAATATTATTAATTAAGTCAATATTAATCAATTATTTTGGTGCCAAAGCTTGCGTCTATGTTTCTATTGAAGGAGCTCTCCTTTGGGCTTTTAGTAGCAATAAAATTGCTACTAAAACCTAATGTAAAAAAACTACTATAAAACAATATGGATTTCCTTTTACTTTACGAGCGCTGTTTGTGCAGCAGCACTTGTTATATTAGTATGCATGAGACGCGAATCTATTTTTGCTTCTATTTCTGCTGCTTCCATTATTATTTTTGCTTTTATTGCTGCTATTGCTGCTCTTTCTACTTCTTCTTCCAATACTTTTTCCATTTCTACTGCACCTGCTGCTAATAGAGCATCTACTATATTTTTATGACCTTCTTCACCAGCCAGATCTAAAGGAGTTTTGTCATTTTTATCTTTAGCATTAACATATGCACCTGCTTTCAATAGAGCATTTACTACTTCCAAATTGCCACTAATAGCAGCATAATGTAAAGTAGTTCTTTCATTTTTATCTTGAGCATTAACATCTGCACCTGCTGCTAATAGAGCATTTACTACTTCCAAATTGCCACTAACAGCAGCATAATGTAAAGGTGTTCTTCCATTTTTACTTTCAGCAGCATTAACATCTGCACCTGCTTGCAATAGAGCATTTACTACTTCCAAATTGCCACTAACAGTAGCACAATGTAAAGGTGTTCTTCCATTTTCATCTTGAGCATTAATCCCTGCACCTTTCGCTAATAGAACGTGCATTGCCTCTATGTTACCACTTATAGCAGCACAGTGTAACAGAGTGTGGTTATATTTATCTAATACAGCATTAACATCTACACCTGCTTGTAATACAGCATTAACATCTGCACCTACTTTCAATAGAGCACTTACTACGTTCGCATCGCCCTTAGCAACAGCATACTGTAAAGGACTTATTTCATTTTTATCTTTAATATGAACATCTGCACCATTTTCTAATAGATATTGTAATAACTCAAGTGAACCATTAGCAACAGCATAATGTACAGCCGTTCTTCCATTTTTTCTTTCAGCAGTATTAATACCTGCACCTTTTTTTAATAGATATTTCAATATCTTAAGTGAGCCATTTGCAGCAGCATAATGTAAAGGAATTTTTCCATCTTCATCTTCAGTATTAATACTTTTATCTGCACCTGCTTTTAATAGAGCACTTACTACTTTCACATTGCCACTGACAACCGCCAAATGTAAAGGAGTATTGCCATGTGTATCTTTAGTATTAACATCTGCACCTGCCCCTAATAGAGCTTTTAATAATTTATATGAACCATTAGCAACAGCAAGATGCGCTAATGTACATGAAAACTCACCGAATTGAAACACGTGATTAACATTAAGCCTATCTTTACTACGAGTTGCAGCTCTCCAACCTGTATGTAAATCTGGCTGTTGCATCCTAAATTTTACTGATAATATTCGAGTGACAGTATCTGAATTTAATCCTTTATGATCATTTGCATCAGTTAATGTTTCCCCCAATGATATGAATTGCCCTAATAATTTGCGATATGTTTCTTGTTGCAATATTGAATGATATGGTGTATTTTCTAAATTACTTGACATATTTTCTCCCAAAATTAATAATCTAAGTTAATATTTTAACTATTTTTCTTTACTAAGTCAATTGCTTTTGGTGAATTTAATTTAAGTTATACCACTATGAGGAGATATCATTTTGTAAAAAGAAGTTTAATTTTTAATTTTTTGCTATATATTAATTAAAAGTATATGTATGACCGTT